TTAAGTCTAATTAGGGTTTAACTTAATTAGGGTTTAAGGGTTAATTAAGCCTAATGTAAGAAGGATTAAAAGGTTTAATTAGGTCTAATTAGAGTTTAAGATTATTTAAGCCGAAAGTAAGTAAGGCTTCAGGGGTTTAATTTGGTCTACTTAGGGTTAGACCAAATTAGGTTTTAAGGGTTAATTAAACCTAATATAAGTAAGGCTTAAAAGGTTTATTAAGTCTAATTAAGGTTTAGAGAATAGTTAAGCCTAAAGTAAGTAAGGCTTAACAGGTTTAATTAGGTCTAATTAGGGTTAGACCTAAGTAAGGTTTAAAAGTTAGTTCATCCTAATATAAGTAAGGCTTAACAGTTTTAATTATGTCTAATTAGGGTTATACCTAATTAAAGTTTAAATGTTAGTTAAGTCTAATGTAAGTAAGGCTTAACAGGTTTAATTAGGTCTAATTAGGGTTAGACCAAATTAAGGTTTAAAGGTTAGTTAAGCTTAATGTAAGTAAGACTTAACATGTTTAATTAGGTCTAATTAAGGTTAGACCTAATTAAGGTTTAAAAATTAGTTAAGCTCAATATAAGTAAGGCTTAACAAGTTTAATTAATTCCAACTAGGGTTATACCTAATTAAGGTTTAAAGGTTAGTTAAGCCCAATGTAAGTAAGGCTTAACAGGTTTAATTAGGTCTAATTGGGGTTAAACTTTAGTAAGGTTTAAAGGTTAGTTAAGCCTAATGTAAGTAAGGCTTATCATGTTTAATCAAATTTAATTAGGGTTAGACCAAATTAAAGTTTAATGGTTAGTTCTACCTAATGTAAGTAAGGCTTAAAGATTTGATTAGGTACAATGGGGTTTAGAACTAATCATGGATTAAGATGTACGTAAGCCGATTGTAAGTTATGCTTAAGAATTTGATTAGGTCTAAAGGGGTTTAGACTTAATCATAGTTTATAATAACATAGATCAAAATTTTAGGGTTAAACTAGGTCTAATTAGCAGGTCCCAATGTTTGACCTAACTTTATGTCAAAATTAGATCAATTTTAAGTAAATGGTCCAGACCAAAGCTTTGGGTTAAACTTGAAAATTTTTAAATTTGCAAATTAAACCAAAAAGGTATAACTTGTTATTTTAAACCTGTAAACTGGTTGAAAAATTGGTTCTAGTTATTAGATTAATCTCCAAGGATTTTCTAATAAAATCCAATTTTAATTTCTATTTTTCTGATTTTTATAATTATTTTAAAAAATAATTACAAATAATTACAAAATTTGGCAAAATTTGGTGAAAATTGGTAAATTTCATTTTAGGGATTTTTCCTAACCTTAGAAAAATTAGAGAATGTTCCTAAGAATGAAAGGATTAATCCCTGCAACTTTTGTGATTTTTGGATTTATAATTAATTTTCAATAATTAAATTACTCCAGAGAATAATAATCATTTAAAAATTAAATATAAATTATTAATTTTCAAATTTAATTTTTTTATTTTCTCCTTACTTTGATGAGCTCAGGGTATTTTTGTTTTATTTTTATGATTTTTTCTTGCAAAGATATGCATTTTTAAAGATTTTTTGAATTTATTTAAATAAGAAAACCTTATATTCTTATTAATCTGACGCGATGCCATGCAATCTGCAGATGGGACGAAATCCCACGTGACAACATTTGATTCGTAGGACTTTCAAAGCAAGCGTTCGCGGTCGCCTCGATCTGGTGTCCTTTCCTCTACGGTTCGTTGGTTTGATCTAATCTTAGTCGTTCATTTCCAACACACGGAAATGGACGATATCGGGTCATCTTCCTCACAGGACATTATCCCAAAAGCGATTCGTGACATTGTCCCCACGAGCATTAACCCGAGAGCCATTCATGTTTAAACCACATATCTCCCTTGATTCTCCATAGAATCTCATGGAGTTTGTTTCAAAAGTTTCATCGAAGCATGACGAACACATCCATACGACATGTAAGCATGGTGTAATGGTTTTCTTCATAAAGTTCCAAACCGAGCATGGTTTTTAGGGTTTAAGCACATACCTGGTCTGAAGAGGTGTAGCCTTAATTGAGCTTGATAAGAACGATCGCATGGTCCTTGCAAAACTCCTCTTTAGTCTAATTTGAAGTGAAATCAGGCTGAGGTATGTTCTTAGTGAAATGGTGGTTTAGTTTCACCTAGGAATGAGTTAGAGCCTAAGGGAAGGCCAATTTAGATTGAATTCTTCTTCGTAAAGCTCAGAGAAGCTTTTGGGAGATTTAGGTTGAAGTTTCAGAGATGTTTATGCCAACCCAAAAATTTGTCCTGGTTTTTAGGTCTAAAATTGGGGCTCTGAGGGATTTCAAGGGCTGAAACTATAGGGGTTTAATTGGATGAGGAAGGTTTTCTCAGTTGAGTGCAAAAAGATTTGGGTGCTCTCTTTTCTCTTCTCCCTCCTTGTGAACTCTCTGATATAACTTTTAAATAGCTATTAGAGGCCATGACCGAGCCTTGGCTTGATTGAAGAAGGCAGGAGGTGGCTCAGGGAGGTTCAGAGAGGCTGAAGTGATTCAATTTTGGCCGTGGATAGAAATTCTCCCATTTCTATGGTGGGCTCATCTTGAGCTCAAGTATGATGATGAAGGTGGATTAGGGTAGGGTTTTCTTTCTATTGGAGGGGTAGTGAGGTGGGTAAACAACATAACAATGAGCTGGCTTGGCTAGTCCACCTAGGTTTAAAGAGTGTAATGTGGAATTTGAGTAAGGTACCATATACCCTTCCCCTTCATGATGGCTTTTGGTCTTGGTAAAAAATAGTGGCTCCCTTGGATTTTAAATAGGGTTAATGGGTCAACCCTATAGTGATGGATAAGTTTGGGTCATGAATAAACCTATTAAGGCTGGACCTTAAGTTCGGGCTTCCATGAGCTTAGGCTTTGATGGATGGGATTGGGGCCATGATTTAAGGATCCTAAATTAGGTTTCAGAGGTATTAATCTCATTCTTTTAATTAATTAATTAAGAGAATGAAAATTTTGACCATAAAACCATGAATTGACCATTGATAGTATAGGGTTGACCATGGTGGTCTAGGGATGACCAGGTGGTCAATGTGGTGACCATTGGGTCAAGGGTTGACCAAATGGTCAATGTGGTGACCATGGGGTCCAGGGTTGACCAAATGGTCAATGTGGTCAATAATGGTCAAATTAGGTTCTACCATTACTGACTTAGCTTGTTTAAGGTTTCACTTAATTTTGAGGTCAAAAGAGTACACATTAGGGTTTGGTGACCCATGATTGGTTGAAGGAGTCAATGTTAGCAGACTTCTTCCCCAAGATGAATTTGATGATCATAGTGTTCTTAGGGTTTGTAGAAGAATCCCTAAGGTCTTTAGTTGATTTGGGTTGTTCAAGATATGCCCTGATCATGGATGTCGACTTACGATAGATCCTCACAAAAAGTGAGGTCAACATATGTCTAGTTGTATTGGGTCGACTACCTTCATGACCAAGTAGGCTTGGGGTCCTAATAACTTAGGATGAAGAATTTGTGGTATTTTAACCCTACTAACTCTTCCCAACTAGGACTACTCTATCATTCCTTTGTTACCCCCTTTGAGCCTTATCACTCATTTGATGCTTCGTTGATGTTTTGTAGGCCCCGATTGAGGATAGGCCGTCACGAGTTTAGGATATATTGATTCACCCTCTATGATCCGGCGAGGCCTTGAAAGCATAGTGTTGGCCCTACGTGATGACTCTGTTATTTCATAGGCCCTAGTGGTAGATAAGTTGTCATCCATATAGAATCGTGAGAGACTCACTCTCTGTCCGTAAGGATCAGTGCGAGCTTTGACGACAACAAGACGCTCCTGTGAGATAAGTATTCGTTTGTGATACCCGTTACTATTTATTATATAGGTGTAAGCCATATTCTCTGTTTTCACGTACTGGGTCTGACACTTAGGCGCCAGTTCACTTTGTTCCCCCTTGCTCTATTTTGTTCTGTTTTCGCTCATTTTTCTCTAACCCAATAGTCTAATTGGAATCCTAAGGGCAAACTTAACCCAATTAGATTTATTGTTTTAATTTGATCAATTTGGTTTCACTACATTATATTTGAGTTAATTTTTCTATTCGAGCGATTTGAGCTAATTAATTCACTTGACCAAATATGAACACTATACTTATCCCTTTTTTACTAATTGATCTAATTTGACTATATTGTTCAATTAGACAAAATCAACCTCTAAAGTAATCCCTATTGACCCGATCATTTAATGGCTTGACCTTTGGACTATTAGTGTCGAGTAAACCCAAGAGACCTACATGATTCTACACAAGTCTAAAATCATGTACAAGCTTAGTCAACCAAACAAACCACGACAAATATCCACCTCAAGAGCTTAGGGTAACTTATTCCAATAGCTTAGAGTTAGGGTAGACCATTAACCAAAGGTTAGAGATGTAATAAAAAATAATCAAATTTAATGCGATAAACCAAATCCTAAGGTAGGATCATGCTAGAAAAATTTGCATACGTAAGACATACGCGGAGTTGCGTATGTCGGAGGTTATTCAGAGGATATTGGGGGGTTATAGGTAGGTTAATGAGATGTTACAGGGGGTGTAACCTACCTATAACTCCCCAATATCCTCTCAATAATATCCAACGTACACAACTCTGTGTATATCTTACGTACATAAATTTTTCTAATCTTTGTCATGATTATTCTATATGATAAAAGCCCAATCGCCAGCACATCATGAATACCTCATCAAGTTTGGATATCAACAGCGGAGATTGCGTAGAATGTAGCTGGCGCCAACAACGATCATATGTTCATTCGTGGATCAAACGTCTCGCATAGAAGATTTCTATACGGGCGATCCTTAGAAAAATAAAATGAAGCGGTTGGTGGCGGGGAGCGCTTCCACCCCAAACTCCGCAGAATTTGCCCGCGTTTTCGGTGCTAAGCTTTCAGCCCTACGTGGGACCCTGTACCCGCTTTTTCATTTCGACGCCTTCTCTTCCCGATAATTACGAAGGGGCCCTACGCCAGACCCCGATTGCAATTAAAAGGTTGCAGAAATATTCTTTGTTGGAATCAGACGAGGGAGGACAGGAAGAGCTCCGCGATGGAGGAATGGAAGGAAGAAGACGGCGGCGACGATACATTCGCCGCAGCGAGATCCGGCAATCATAACCTCCCACGAAAAGTGCAGTCCTACAGCCAGCCACTGGGCCGAGATGCGACACCCGCAGGCTCCGTTTCCAAGTTTAACGTAAACCGTAAGCACAGTCTCGATGAATTAATTAATCCCTTCTACGTGAATCCGTTCGCCGGCAATCGTGTAGCCGATGCCTCATTGGACGGTACCAACGCGGGCCGATCCCTCTCGTACCCTCACCACTTGGTCTCCCCTTCGTCTTCCGGCCAGCACAAGCAGTCCAATTCCGTGGAGGACATTCGCTTACAACATCCTCACCTTCCCCCGCCTCTTCCTCCTATTTATCATCCCATCGGCGGCTCTCTCGGCAGCTCCGTCCCCTTCGCGCTCGACCTTCGGTGCGGGAGCTATGGGAGCTCCCTTTCTGAAAGCGACGAAACCCTCACACTTGAGCGCGCCATGTCGGAGTTCGGTGGCGCACCTGGGACGCTACCAGAGTTCATGGGCAAAGGCGGAGGTACCGGGATTTTCCGCTTGCCGTTCCGCGCAGCGGTGCACCCCAGTCGGCCTCCGGTGCTTGAGCTCCGTCCGCATCCACTCCGGGAGACGCAGGTGGGCTCTTTTCTCCGAACAATGGTTTGCACCGGCACGCAGCTTTGGGCGGGCCAGGAAACTGGATTGCGTTTCTGGAACCTCTCCGAGGTATACGAAGCTTGGAATGGTCGGCCAGCGAAGAAGGGGGACGAGGCGAGCGCCCCATTTTACGAATCCGGCCGTACTTCGCCTGTGGTTTGTTTGGTGGCTGATGCGGCGAGTGGGTTTGTGTGGAGTGGACACAAGGATGGAAGGATTAGATCATGGATAATTCCAAAGTCGGGATTGGAGAGTTTTTCAGGGGAAGGTGCTGAGTATGAGGATAAAAGATTTCCGGAGAACAGCATTGCTGCAGGATCTGGTGATCCTGAATCGCTTTTTAGAGAAGGTCTCTCATGGCAGGCGCATCGCACCCCTGTGCTCTCTATGATTATCACTTCGTATGGTAATCTAACTTTAAGTCTGTCACCTTTTGTTTCGTTTTATTTTTTCTTCATGTTATGTGTGGTAGATAACCCCACCCCTTCTGCTCTCATGGGTAACATGGATATCTCAGCTGTGGATCCTTGATAAATTTCTCTTCATTATTTTCTTTAGCTACTATCTGCCCTCTATTTATTAGAATTTTACGGTTGAGATTTTCTGTAGAATTTTGAAATGGGTAAAAGATTGCATGAACTGGCGAAATGTACAGCTTGTTTGGTATTAGAGGCAAACATCTTGATTTCCTTCTTGGTCATTGATATTTTGCAAATATTTGACAGATTAGTTAACATGATTTCCCAGCGTCATGAAACTCTCATACATGTTTATCGAGCAAGCGTACAACGTTGTCTTCATGTGTTGTTTTTTTGTGTTATTTGATGTTTGGAGGTGTATGGTAAAACAAGTAGGATTGGTCCGTTATGCTTAAATAAATCTCTGTAAATTTCTTGGCGTCCATTCTATTGATTGGTTACCTTTAAGATAATGTAATTACCTGCTTTGTTGTGAAACTTGATCCTATAGTGTAATTCGGTGATTTATCTAGATGTCGTTATATAGGTTTTGTATACATACATATCTATATCTATCTATATAATATATAGATATATATATATATATATATATAGGTATAGATATGTACATATACATACGCATACATATGTATATGTTATGTACATGCATATATATACATATGTATATGTGCATATACATATATGTGTGTTTGTGCATGTGTGTGTGTGTGTGTGTATACATATATATGTATTTTAAATACGTGTGTGTCTTGAAAATGTTATTTTATTGTTGCAATTAATAGAAGAAGATAGAACTGATAGCATTACTATTTATGTGTGTTTTTTATTCACTTGCATCTTATCTAGCCTCTTTCATGTGTTTATTACATAATTTCATTGTTGTTTTTTTAGTAGAATATCTAACTACAATATGCTTTGCCAATGTTGAAAGACAAACTTCTTGTCTTCATTAACTGAGATTTGGTGCTTATAAGTAGGCATACAAGATAAATTCGAATAAATAGGTTATAAAACATGATGCAAATGTCTCCTTAATCTTGTACTTTCAAGAGATTGCAACTTTTAATCTAGTAATTTTCTACAATAACACCTCCTACCTGTTTGGGGTGCATATATTAATAAATTATAGCTTGTTACAAAGATTGAGGAAAAAAAGTCCCATAACTTTGTTAAATATATTAACAAACAATTCTTCAACATCAATGTGTGGAGTAATGTTTTTCTTTGGCATGATTGCTTATATGATGAATTGAAAACCTACTTTAATTTGCTTAGTTCTTTTATTAAAGATAGAGTTGCTTGCAATAGTTGCTTAATTATAATGACTGAGGATGGTGAACTATGTAATAGGAAAGCCAAATTCTTGTAGAAGAGTTTTGACCCACATCATGTCGCAACCATAACATGCCATAACTTTGTTCGACAATTAATTTAGCTACCACTATGTACTTCTTACTTTTCTAGTACATGAGATTTTCACCCACAAGACATAATATCTTGAAGTAGATTTTCGATCCTCAATAGATCCAACATAGTTTGATATGAATAACGCTCGATCATTAAATGACCATGTATCTGATAGACTAAATCTTCTTTTAGGGATCTTTTGATATATCTTAAAATTCTTAGGATAATTTTTTGTTATAGTTTTTTTGCGTTTTGCGTTTGCTAATTGAGCACTTCAATACAAAAGATATATTAGACCAAGTGATGTTTATATTAATAAGTTTGCCAATAAGGCACTGATAATGGAAATGATCTTCATAGCTATCATCATTCCTGGATAATTGCCGAGTTGTTAGAGTTGTTGTACTTGTCACCTAAGGGGTTTGTGTCTTCTAAAAGGTCCATGGCATATTTATTTTTGCGATAGAGAAATGCTTTTCCTGCTTTATATGGATTCCATGCAAGTAAAATATTTCATTTTCCCCAGATCTTCAGGAGCATATATTCTCCATGTTTAGTGATGTATAACACATCGCTTCCAATGAGAAGAATGTCCTCAATATATATAACTCTGATCACTATGCTCGAGGAAGAGTACTTAAAAGATAAAGTGATCAACCATACTACTTTGTACCCAATTTAAGCAAACACCTTACAGAGTTTGCAAACCGGACGTGTGGACATTACTTCAATCCATTTATAGCCTTTCAAAGTTTGCATATCTTGTTTTTTCATTGAGCAACATATCCAAAGATTGCTCCATATAAACTAATTGGTAAGGTCTCAATAGAGGAAGTCATTACTGACATTTATTTATATCACATGCCATCCTTGATTAAAGACAACAAATAGAAGAAGCAAATTGTATTCAATCGATAAATTAGTGAAAATTTCTTAAAGTAGTGGATACCCTAGATTTAAATATGTCCTTTTACGACTTTTTGAGCCCTTTTGTGATTAATAGTCTTCAATATGGAACTTAATAGTGAAACCACTGGATAAGAGATATGTTTGACTCAAAGGAGAATGTGTAACTAATTTCAAATTATGATGATCAATAAGAATGCTACTTTTATCATTAATAGTTTGCTTTTAGTTATTGGTAGGGCCTCTTGGTGTGTTTTGTGAATAAAGACGATGAAAGAAATTGAGAGATGGTTAAAGGGCATAGAAAAATTATTGTGGATAGTTAGTCATTTATGTTTTTCCTTGTGTAGTGAGTCTTGTATTTGCTCTTTTTGTGTCGAGAATTGCAATATAAATCAATTCTCATGCCATTATAGCAAATTTGGGTCATTGAGTGCAAGTGTCATCATCTTCTTGACATTGCTTGTATCTTAATTTTTGAAATTCATGTTTCTCGCCAATTTTGATATTTGATGTTTAATTCATGTTAATCAATTGGGTCCTTTACTATTTTAGGTGATATTACATTCTATATTTCTTATCTCCATGAATTTTTTTTTTTCACTTAACCTTTAGTGGCTTTGGTTGTGATTTGTGGCTACTCTTTTTACCAAATTTATGACACATTATCCCATCGTACCATTCAATACTCCTTTTTTGATTATTATCATAATCCTATAGATATTTGATATTATGATATTACTACTAGAAAATTATATCTTTGATGGTGCTTTCTTTCATGATCATTCTCATACTTGGCTTCCACTTCATCTTCTACAAAACAACTCAGGACTTGTTCCAAGCAATTGATAAAAAAATACAACTGAGGAGATGAGAAGTAAAATGAGTAGAAGATTTATAGGGATAAAGATTATAAAATAGATTGGTATCTTTTAAAAAATGTGGATGACAAATATTTGATTAAAATACATCCAAGAAGAATAAAATCATCAAAATTGGTGTGGAACATGAATGCCAAATATAAGATATGCGTAACAGTTAGAAGTTGATGACACTTACACTCATTGACCATAATTTACTAATAATATTGACATGTCAATTAATGTATAATGCAATTATGGAGAGCAAAAATTAAGTTGTATAAATTTGAGAATTTTTATTAGTGATATAAGATTGTGCTTACATGCATATAGGGGTTGTCAATATTAGACTCGACTTAAAAAATCTGACTCAAGTTTGACACTAACTCTCTGAGTTTGGATTAACTATAAAATATTTTAGTCAAGTTTACTTTAGCTTAAGTGACTTGAAAAAAGTGGGCTGTTTTAAATTTTCGTTAACCAAAAAATGCTTATTTACATTTTTAATGAAAAATTCATATGAAATTGTTTCTATTTCTTTTTTTTTTTTAATTTTTTTATTGACTTTTGGTGTCCAAATCCAGTAATTTTGTCCATTTTATTTTGAGTTGTTACTAAAATGTCAGAATTAAATACTTTTTTTTGTCAATTTAGGTTGGGTTTGCGTGGACATTTTTTACCAGTTTAATGAAAGGATTGAGTTTGGGTTGATTGGATTTGTGTTGGGTCCTTGTTGGGTTAGATTTAGATTAGACTCATGATGACGTGGGAGGTTACTGCTCGCAGTACTGTAGACGTATTACTGTAGCTACTATAGTAACTGCGGTCCCCCTTTCCTATTTAAACTCTTTCATTTCATTTGCTTTCCTTTCTTGATGATTTCTCATTATAATTCCTTTCTTTCTCCACTTCTTTCCTAATCCTCTCCTTGCCTATTAATATCTCTTTCTTATTCTATTCTTTACCTATTTTATCTATTAATCCCCTCTATATATATGTAGTTTTTTGAGGTTAGGGGGGCTTTTATGAGTGCAGATTTCTGAGTGCTGCCTTAGAGGCCCGACGATGAGAAGGTGCTTCGGCTGTAACTCGTCCGAGGTGGTGACCGTCTCCAAGGGTCTAGGTGGTGGTTCCGCTATAGCTCGACCCCTACAGGACATTTATTCTTCCACGGCCTCTCTGGCCTCGTTTCTAGTAGCCGCAAACAACCTTTTGGCTACTGTCCAGACCATGCCATCTTCCTTCCGGTTGCTGTGCAGTCCACGTCATCTCTCTTCTGGGTGCTTCCCAGCGTTTCGATTGTTGTCCAGACTACCTCCCGCTGCTGCCCAACCACCAACATATGTTCCAGTTGTTGTCAAACCCTTCAAGAACGCCGCTTCTGCCGTCCAACCACAACCCTCTTCCACAACCGCAGCCCCTCCCCTATGGCTGCCAACCATCATCCAGGTCTCTTCTAGCAACTGCAACATTCTCTCAGCGGACGTTCTTCCCTTCTGCCACCTCCCCTCAACCATAGCCATCTTCCATCAGTCGCCAACCCACCGTCTAGCAACCTCCGTGCTCGTTATCACCCGCGGATATCTTTTATTGTTTATGCTGTTCGTGTTTATTTGTTGTTACTTCTTGATTTTAAAGTGTCATGTTTGTAATCCGTTTGGAATTCATAAATAATATGTGTTTCTTTTATGGTTTGGGTTTTCCTCCTATATCATTTGGGGAACTGTAGCAGCGATAATACCACAAACAAGTTACTGTAGCTGCTACAGTAACTGAGGTCCTCCTTTCCTTTTTAATCCCTTTTCTTTCCTTTCCTTTCCTTTCCTTTCCTTTCATTTCCTAATGATTTTCGACTATAATCCTTCTCTTTTTTATTTAATACTCTCCTTCCCTATTATTTCTCTTTCCTATCCTACTCTTTACCTATTTTATCTGCTAATCCCCTCTTTATATTAATGCTGCTTTTTGAGGTTAGGGGGAGTTTTATGAGTGCTACCGTAGAGGTGTTCTTCTCCTCCGAGGGCTGTACCCAACGACGAGAAGGTGCTTCGGCTGTAACTTGTCGAGATGTTCTTTGACTTTAGCTTGACACCGACAAGATATTTATCCTTCAGCAGCCCCTCTGGCTCTGTTTCCAGCAGCCGCAAACCACCTTCCGGCTGCTGTCTAGATCACGCCATCTCCCTTCTGGCTGCTGTCCAGTCCACGTGGTCCCTCTTCCGGGTGCTGCCCAGCCTTCCGGCTGCTGCCATACTATCTCCTGCTGCTGCCCAGCCATAGATACATGTTCCAGTTGCTGTCCAACCTTTCAAGGATTATTGGTCCTGCTGCCTTCCAGCCCACAACCCTCTTACAACAACTGCAACCGCTCCCTTACAGCAACTGATCACCTTCTAACCCTCTTCCAACAACCGTAGCCCCTCTTGAACGGCTGCCAGCCACCATCCAAGCCTCTTCCACCAACCGCAGATATCTCCCAGCGGCCGCCCTTCTCTCCCGCCACCTCCCCAGCCGCAGCCGTCTTCCATCAGTCGCCAACATGATGATGTTTTCCAAACTCATAGGCACAACAACAACAACAAGACTTTTATCTCACCCATAAGTAGCACACCCAAATTCTAAAATAGAGGATAATACATGTGTGAAGCTCATTAGATGTTGATGATGATGATGCCCTGGATGGTAGTGCCATTTACAAGGGAAATTGGAGGCAAGGCAGTGGAATCAACAACATTGTCATAATAAATACTACTAACTTCAACATATCCACTAAATGTCTTCTTTGTGCTGAGATCTTGAAAGATAGCAAGTTCGATAACTTCTTACCGAATAGTTTTGAGTCTAGGCTAGACAATCTATTGATTGGAAACTTCGGAACTTACAGTCAAGATCAAGGAGGAGGAAAGATGTGCATATCCTTTATTCGATTGTGAACTATGGAACTTACAACCAAGATTAAGTAGGAAAGATGCGCATATCCTTTATCTGAGACAAAAGAGAACAATCAATAACAATTTCAGGTTGGATAGGAGTTGCCCTAAAAGATGAAAATAAGAGGATAGTAAATTCAGAGAATGACGTTGTATATGATACTGATTCAGATTGCTCAAGCAGATGATCATAATCTTTGTAAGAGAGAGTAACATATCTAGATTACCATCAACTACTTCAAAATGTAGAGACTGTTTAGCGTTAGGGGTGGGAAGCAAAAAGGAAGAGAGATTTGAGATAAAGAATAGTCATTATATTAAGAATAGTGGCTCCATTTAGATCACATACCCTAAAAAAGATGGGTAGAGAGAAATTTGTCAACAAATAATATGTCATTATGCTTTTGCTAGAAAATCGTGAGGTTTGTGATGTGAGTCATAAAAAAATGTGAGAATAAGTAGAACGTGTGCCATGACTTCAGTATGTGAGCGAGTGCTGTGTGCTTGACAACATGCAGTTTTTGAGTATACATGTAACATGTTTCTTATGAGAGTTGTTGGCAAGCACTGACGAGGTGGGTGGGGTGTGGGCAAGCAGAGCTATAGGCAGGCATGCATGTCAGCGAGTGGGCAGTGAGAGCATGTAAACGTTACCCAATACCATGTTAAGCGAAAGAATCCTTGTTTTTCTTGATTGAGATTAGGTGCTTGTAAATAGGCATTTAAGGTAAATAGAGAAGGAAACAAATAAGCGAACATCTTCAATTAAGTGAATATAAAAGGAAACAAATAAGCGAACATCTTCAATTAAGTGAACATAAAAAAAAAAAACACTATATAATCTAGTACTTTCTAGAGATATCACCTCTCAATCTAATCATTTTCCTGCAATAACAGCATTTTTAACATTGGAGATATATAAGCCTCCGCTGAAGATGACAGAGCCCTCGCTGTGTCTCTTCATTGGTAGGCTGACGCATATTTCTCCTTGGTGGCATAGTTGACGGTTTGGGATATGCGGAAGGAAATACAAAGGAGGAACAAGGAAAGAAGTGAAAAAATAAATGAAAGAAAAAATTTTGTGTGGTGGGTTGGGTAGGGGCGGATGCTCGAAACGCTAGGACGGGACTAGGGTTGGGCTAGCTCTGATACTAAATGATACCGGAGTTAACCAAACTACGATGCAACACACGAATTTATTAATAACTTAAAAGGACAGTTTTATTGATGACGCAAAAAGAAACGAAAGACACCACATAAATCAAAACATAAAACGAACATTACAAACAAAGACTCAACAAATAAAGACACAACAAGCTCGAGTAGGAACTCCGGAGTGGAGGTGTAGGCTGGTGGCTGCGGTGAGGCCGGATGGAGGAAGATTGTAGGTGGGAAAGTACTTGCTGATGTTTTGAGGGTGGGACAACAAGGTAGTGATAGTGGAGGCGTCAACCCACAGCTGGAAGTAGAAGAAAGTGACGTCGGTGACTGGAATATGGCTTAGCAAGGAAGGGGAGCCTGCTGTAGGTAGGGATGACGATGGGTGGCCATCTGGAGGCAGGGAGCAGAGGAGGTGACTTGTTGGGTAGAGGAGACTCACGGTGGCCTGCAGAGGTAGGGGAGCAATGGGGTGGCTTGCAAAGGTTAGAGAGCTGGGGTGGAGGCTGCTGGTGGTGTAGGAAGGATGTTGGTAGTCTGCTAGGATGACAGAGACCTGCAGCCTGCTGGGTGCAGGGAGAAGGCTGGGCTGGGGTCTGCGGGGGTGCAGGGAGGAATCCGGTGTACACCGATAGACATCACAGGTACCAGCGGATGCGGGGGCAAAGGGTAGGAGCGGTGGAGGCCTGCTGCAGGGCTGGAAAGTGGGCGGATAGCAGCAGAAAGAATGGAAGGGTAGATAAATATCTCGTCGGGGTCGAGCTACAGCCGGAGCACCGCCCGGACCCGTGGAGATGATCACCACCTCGGACGAGCGACAACCAGAGTACTAAATTCAGATATGAAAAACATGACCCCTAACCCTAGGCACCTCAAATTCTATTTATAAAGAAACTTAACCTAATTAGGAAATACTAGAATAAGAAGGAGAATAAAATCAGATTTTAGGACTTTTAAAATAAGGAAGTTAATAAAATCAGATTTCAGTTTTGATTTAAGATTAGAAGGAAAATAAAAATCAGATTTCAGTTTTAGGAAATGTTTTAAAATTAGAAAGAAAAAAATGGCAAAAAGGAAGAGAGAAAAAGGAAAGGATGGGTCGGCAGCCCCCTCCCCTGTTGGTCCTCCTCTCACCGAAGCCCCTCATCATTCACTATCATCAAATTAATCCCAATTGGTCCCTCAAGGAATAAATTGAGATTGATATTGCATAGTTGAGGGATTAAATTGGGATCATTTTTGTGCCATAATTTCTACACGAGGGATCATTTTGGCTCATTTTTCAGTAGATGGGGGATTAAATTAGAGCATTGCAAAACTCTGGGAGTAAATTGGCCATATCCGAATAGTTAGGGGATCATATGCAATTGTGGTTTGTTTTGTTAATATTATGTCACGTTCTCAGAGGTCACACCTGAATGGATTGGTGCAGATCAGGTCTACTCAGCTTCCGAAGCATTAATCAATATGCTATTTTTCTAATAATTATCTGAAGAACATCTTCCATCTTGCTGTGTAGTTTGGTAGATTGTAGCCTCTTTGAGGGCCTTTCATTTATTCTTCGTATCATCATGTTTGGTTTATTTAATTTTTCATCTTCATTCTTACTGATTGCTTGAATATTTAACTTCCAGGTGATATTTGGACTGGTTCTGAAGGTGGGGTGTTAAAAGCCTGGCCTTGGGAATCTATTGAAAAGTCCCTTAGTCTAACAATTGAAGAAAGACATATGGCTGCTTTGCTGGTTGAGAGGTCATATGTTGACCTTAGGAGTCAGGTCACGGTGAATGGTGTTTGCTCCCTTCCTGCAGTTGATATCAAGTATCTATTATCTGATAATTCTAGGTCTAAAGTGTGGAGTGCAGGCAGTCTAATTTTTGCATTATGGTACATCTTACCCTTTCTCCTACCACTTTATCCAGGGCAAAGAAAACGCAAGAATCATCGAAATCAAGAAGAAAACACATATATTTAACGAGGTTCGGCAATTTGCCTACGTTGTCGGGAGCAGAGAGATGACTTCTTTTGATTTCACTAAAAAATAGTAAAATACAATATAACATATATATATATATATATAACTTTTCTTGACTGATATATTCAGGATCTATTTATTGTCACAGGGATTCTCGGAAAAGGGAACTTTTAAAAATATTTAATATTGATGGTCAGATGGAGAATCGGGTTGATTTAGCACAATCACAGGAGAACCATGTGGAAGATGAGATGAAGATGAAGTTTACAAAGAAGGAAAAATCTGGTTCTTTGAGTTTTTTCCAACGATCACGAAATGCTCTGATAGGAGCTGCTGACGCAGTTCGGAGAGTTGCACAAAAAGGAACGTTTGGCGAAGATCGAAAGACAGAAGCAATAGTTTTAGCAATGGATGGTATAATTTGGACTGGATGTACAAATGGCTCACTTTTGCAGTGGGATGGAAATGGAAATAGAGTACAGGAAGTGCAACATCATTCTTCCGCTGTGAAGGCTTTGTGTGCTTTTGGCACCCGTTTATGGGTGGGCTACGTGAGTGGTACTGTTCAAATAATGGACCTTGAAGGAAATTTACTTGGTGGATGGCTTGCTCACAGCGCTCCAGTTATAAAGATGGTTGTTGGAGCATCATATATTTTTACATTAGCTAGCCATGGAGGAGTTCGTGGATGGAGTCTTACATCACCTGGGCCCATTGATGATATACTGCGGACGGAACTGTCAAGTAAAGAACTTGTTTACACAAAAGTGGAAAAAATTAAAATTTTGGCAGGCACTTGGAATGTTGGACAAGAAAGAGCTTCTCATGATTCTCTTATTTCATGGCTTGCTAGTGCAGCAACAGAAGTTGGATTAGTTGTTGTTGGCCTTCAAGAAGTGGAGATGGGTGCTGGTTTTCTTGCAATGGCAGCGGCAAAAGAGACTGTGAGTTAGCAACACATGCTTTATGCTTGCATCTTACTTAAGATAATTTAAACAGAGAATTGAAACTAAACTATGTTTTGTTTGTACGCCTTTCTGAGTTTGAGGTTTCTTTGTTATTTCTTTATAAAAGGTAGTTTCGTACTTTAGAAGGTGAGTTCTAGAAGAAATCATAAAAATCTATCACTCTGAAGCATTCATATTTTTTTAGCGGTCTTTAACAAATACTTTTAAACTATGATTTAGCATGCCATTGGGCATAACAAATCATGTGGTGTGTCTCTCTTATGTAATATCACTTAAATCTTGAAGAGCCCATGAAATATATCAACTTTCATTTTGAATGACTTGTTAAATTTCTAATGATGGTTTATATCTAGTGTCGTACAAATGGAAAGAGGGATTAGGAAAGATGGGAGAGTGGATACAAGTCGGAGAGAAAAAAAGGCAGTTGGGAAGAGGGAATAGGTAAGGAATTTAAAATTGAATGCAATTATGCATATATCCTTGATTAAAATCTTATGATTTCTTGTATAGACCGTGATAAACTAATCTATGACTAAAGAAACCCTACTTAACATATCCTTGTATTCATGATTATCTAGATATAAAACGAATATGCTGATAGAAATAAGTAGTCATAATTTGTCCCTTAATAGTTGGCATAAGGCTAATGATGATGATTTTGAAGAAGAAAATGTAAATGCAGTAAAAATAAACATGCATCCTATAAGTAGATTTGAATCTTAGAATGTGCCATGTACCCACGTCAATTCTTCTAAAAAAAACTCATCACATAAAGAGTTTGGTAATGTAGACTGTGCTGGAGGTGGTGAAATTAGTTCATTTAGATCTTTCAAGTCATCTTGTGGGATAGCGTAGACATACATGAACAAAATGACAACAAATCATGACAAGTACAATTTATTGAGCTATAGATGATATGGAATTTATGATACATGTCAATCATGAATAGCAAGTTATGGTGTCTTTTGGAGCAATAACACGTTGATTATGGTGTCACACCTCAACTAACCCCTTTGATAGGATCAATCGTGGTGCGATCGGGTCCGACAATTTTTCAGGCTAACTCTCACCAGCACTCTCTTGACTTGGATAGTTATGACCCAGTGAATGATGAATTGATTTAACTAGATCCCTGCAACATACGCGATATATTGCATTTCACAACACATTCATATACTTACTCAAAAGAATGGAAATGATATCATCCAAAACATGAAAACTATACAAAACTGTTAAATCTAATAAGATAAAAATATGTTCACAAAACATATATACAAGCTCTCAAAACTATTGTGCAAAAGCTATACAAAGACATACCTGACTACTCGCCCTAGTGCTCGTTGCCCCTACCTGGAAGGCAACAACGAGACTGAGCAACGTCGAGCTAAGAGAAATAATCAGGGCTAACATAAAATTTTATATATGGAAAAGGAACAACATGCATTCTCGTAAGAAACTATATATGTCTACAAACATAAGTAATAACATGCTAGCATTATAGAAAATATGAAAAGAGAGCAAGTAATATAAAAATCAAGACTGCAGTGTAATATGTAGGTCGTAAGCATGAAATCATAATTATAATGAAAAACATGCTTATATACTGTTTATTGTATGTAATTATAACAATGTCATTTCATAGTAATGTCACTTGTTTAATGTATATGGTTCAACTATTTCCGTATCCTTTCATCATGGGTCGTCACTCTACCCTAAAGACCATATAAACTATGGATAAAAGTTGGGCTTCCCCAACATAGCAATTATCGATAACTCCCTGATATCCACAGTTCTTTAGCGTTTGTCACCGCCTAATCCCAACGGTTCCTAGAGTTTCATCCCCGTATAAATATCAAGAGTTGTGAATACTATATTCTTGCATAGTGTAATTGCAAGCATTCGTATAATATGCTATCCATAACTTTCATTGTGACATTTAAATCAACATTCATGTATCAGGCATTTATAAGGTATTGCATGCATCATAGACATGAAGTATAATAAATAAATACCTGCAGACAATTAATATCATAAACTTAATCATATGTATCTACCATTATCATAGCATCACATGTATCGTAAGAGAAGTAAACATGCATTCATACTTTAAATTGCAGGTATTCATTTACAATATAGAGAAAATTCTAGATGCATATGTGTGAAACTAAAAATCTTATGAAAACATATATAAGATTATTTTTCTTAAATTAGCACAAGATTATTTCTTCTAACTTGATGGAACAGCTCTAGGATGAGTGCCCATACGCTCATCTCGAGCTCGCCGCCTCGTATAGACAAACTGTGGCTCGTAAACAACATAGAGATTCATGAAATTTGGCTCATAACATGCATTAACCCAAAAATGTACCTTATTTTTCAAAACTTACTTCAAATGGGCTTCTCAGCATAAATTCGCTTTTTTGAAATCTCTTATTTTCTTTCCAACGCTTCCTAACACCTTAATCTTTACTTTCCCTTCCCTAATTTTGCGCTAAAACCCTATATGAAAGCTTGCAATCCACTTTCAATGCTTCCGACACAAGATCGGTGCTTCCCACAGCTACTGAAAACGAGAAATTCACGAAAATCATGGCAAACATCAAAACGAGGAGGTGAGGAAGGAAATGAAAGTCTCAAATAGCGTGAAAGTGAAGTTCCTATCTTTTAAATTCACACCAGAGCTCTAAACAACAACTTGCAACATTCGGCCATGTGCCCAGTTCGCGCGAGTTCTGCGGTGTCCCAAGAAGATCCCTTTTAGACGACGAATATGGGAGCAGGAAAGGATTCAAGAGATGGGAATGAAATTAGAGCCTAGGAGGGTCTTATTCGATCGAAACTCAAAATAAAAGGGAGTGAAGGTCGGTTAGCTACAGTGCTGCGGGAATTAGGGAGGGATTAAAGCTTAAGTAATGTTTGAATGAAGTTAATTAAGCTCATAACTTCAAAGTTTTGTAATTCTCAATCTATTCATAATTCATGCATAGTGTTTTATATAGAATTGATCTATTTCATGCATTGAATTTTATAAAATTAGATCGAATTCCGGTAGAAAGAAATTTGGGGTACTTTTTAAATTTACCAAAATTTAATTAGTATTTAAATTTGTGTGTTTCATCTCTCATCTCCTTATAAAGTTTTCTTCTTCAAAATTTCTGACTTAACTGGAATAGGAAAGGATATTTCTGTAACATGTCTTCTTCTTTTTCCCAAATAGCTTCATTTTCAGGTTTGTGCTTCCACTTTATCTTCACAAATGGAATCTGTCCGTTTCCAAGCTTCTTAGCCTAAGTTGTTAAAATTTTTTTAGGCTTTTCAATATTTGTTAGATTTTTCTATCTGTCCATTTTTTCATGTAAAATCTTCTACACTGAATTTGAAACTCATTTTCCTAGTATTGAAATATGAAACACATGGTGAATATCTGACATATTAGCAGATAACGCTAATTTGTAGGCAACTAGATCAATCATTTCTATAATTTCAAAATGACCAATATACCTGGACTCAGTTTGCTTCTTTTACCAAATCTAGCTGTATCTTTCATTGGCCCGACTTTCAAAAATACGAAATCTCCAATTTCAAATTCTATTACTTTATACCTTAAGTCGTAATATTTTTGCTGTCGATCCCGAGTAGCTTTCAATCTGTATCTAATTAATCTGATTCTTTCTGTGGCTTTACTAACTAGCTTGGGACCTAACATTTGACGCTCACAAACTTCAACCCAATTGAATAGAGTTCTGCACTTTCTGCCATATAGTTCTTCATAAATGGTCATTTTGACACTAGACTGATAGCTATTGTTGTAAGCAAATTCGATCATTCGAATGTGATCTTCCTAAACGACTCTAATGTGGAGAACACACAAATTTAACAAATCTTCTAATATTTAAATTGTTTTTTCTGATTGTCCGTCGGTTTATGGATGAAATGCAGTGCTGAAGTGCAACTATGTACCCAAATCTTGCTGAATGCCTTTTCATAACCTGGACGTGAATCATTCATCTCTGTCAAAAACAATAACTTTTGAAATTCCATACAATCTGATAATTTCCTTGACATATAATCCGACCAACTTTTCCGCTGAATCTGTCTGTCTGATAGGCATAAAGTGAGCTGAATTGGTTAATCTGTTAAGAATGACCCAAATACTATCGTGATCTTGTCTGGATCGAGGATCTTGTTTGGATCGAGGAAATTCAATAGTAAAAATTTCTTCCCATTTCCGTTTAGGTATCTACAATGATTGTAGCATCCGCTTGGTCTCTGATGCTCAACCTTTAGAATTTGACATGCTTGATTGACATGCTTGATTGACATGCTTGACATTAGAACACATATTCAACAACATTCTTCTACATAACTGGCCATTAGAATACCAACTTCAAATTTTTGTACATTTTAGTACCACCTGAATGAATTATGTACCCTAAATGAACTTCATATAGAATTTCTCGTCTAAAATCAGAATTAGCAAATACTCATAACTACAACTTATATCTGATAATATCATCTTCATCAACAATCATATCATTTAATCTATCCTGATTAACATTATTTCAACAGTTTCAGATATTTACTATTATCTTTCTGAGCTGTTTTAATTCTATTAATCAACATTGGTTGCACTGCCAATTGGTGTAAATATCCACGATCTTCTGGTCTTCTAACTTCCAACTGCAAAACATCAATTTCTTTAATCAACTCTGGCTTCTGAGGGATAATCTAGCTTGCAATATATGTGAATTTATGACTCAATGCATTAGCAACTACATTTGTTCGGCTCAGACAATGTTGTTCTAGATTGTAGTCTTTGATCAACTTTAACCATCTTTGCTGCCTAAAATCCAACTCTTTTTTTGTGAAAATGTATTTCAGACTTTGCTAATAAGTGAAGACTTGCATTTCACGCCATACAAATAATGTCGTCAAATCTTGAGAGCAAATACCACAATAGCTAACTCCAGATTATG